AGTCAATGAGTCGATGCAATCAACTGGTTTTCCTCAGTTAGAAAACTTTGAATCAATCTGACTGAGATGACATGTTGTGAATTGTATAGAAATAAACTGAATTGACTGTTTATCAATCAGGAAATGTGTGTACCGGCAGCAAACCAAAGTAGGCTCCTGAGAGATTAAACCAGAAAAACACAGACCATGTCGGTTCCTGTGGAACCCGTAGTAATTTGGGTCCAGATTTTCACCATTATTGATAAACAGGTCAATCACATGCAATCATAAACATCAAAAACTATTAAAAATAAGCTCTGTGACTAATCTTTCTCATATAGGAAAACATAAAAAGTTTGATATCTGGAGATCCTTTCATGATAGTGTTTTACAACCTATTTTTTCTTGCCTATAAATTCTGGGATCGCTGCTCTAAACCTATATAAAAAATAAAAAAAATCTTTTATATCTGTTCAATTATTTGTGTATAAATTGTAGAGTATGACACAGCAGAGAGCAAAAGCAGGAAGAAAAAGCAATACCAAAACGACAGGAGATAAAGGAATGATAACAGTATTAGACGTGTGCCCGCTGGAAGAACTAAGGAATCAGAAAACATGAACATATCGGCTGATGAGGTTACCAGAAAAACAAAAAGCAGCTAATATCGCCCTAAAATATCTTTAATCTCAACCTGCAAGTTAAGATTCATGTTTGATCCAGTATGTTTTTTTTTTTTACAACACTACATAAAACACTTCAGACCAAGAACAAATACAAAAAGCCTTTTAATTACATGTAAAAACATACATGTAAAACATCACCAACCTCTCGAGAAAAGAGAGGTAGCAACAAACTCACACATGCTGTGTTCCACAGCTTCAGGACGCAAATTATATGTTGCATTCAACAGCTACGAAAATGATCACAATGTCCCGGATTCTCTGTTTTTATGCTTCATAACAAGTTTCAGCACTAGAGACATTTCTTTAAAACACTACAGGCTTTTTTCAGATTGGTTACCATTAAACTTGTGTTTGTAAAATCAAATGTATGTAAAACCCACATAGCATACCGGTTTGGTATCTTGGCTGTAAGGTTAGATAAAAAAAATCTGTACCAAACGCTGATATAAAAGTTTGCAAATAAGAAAAATTAAAGCTTCAATCTCTAACCGAAATACTGCAAAGTAATCACATATGTAAAATCAGACACATTTTTGTTTTGGGCAGAGATCTTTTCTTTAAACAGAGTTGGCTAAAATCAAAAACTAATAATAACACAAATTTTCAGAACAAAACATTTTTTTAAAAGCAAGTTGTGATCATATTCTCAAGATCTGTAATTTTGTTGGATGTCCTGAAAATGAGGAACACTGTTTCTAAAGAAAATACCAACATATGGTACTTTCACCTCTTTTCCGACGGGATAAAGACAGCCACAAGGTCTAAAAGACTGTAAATCCCGAAATTGTCCATGTTTCTTCAGGAAGACGCCTCAGTTTTCCAAATCATCACCATGTTCTTATCAGTCAGGCCGACCAGGTAGTGAAGCTCAGGGTCCATCGCCACGCTGTTGATGGAGGGGCCCTCCATTCGGCCCAGGCCTTTTCTCATCGGAGCTGGCCAATCTAACACCTAGAAAAAAAGGCAACACATCACAATATCTTAAATTAAATGTAACTTTTTAGCAAGTTTCTTACTTTTTGAGAAAGGAAAGACATTGGATGCAATATTAATTTTCTTTTTGTATTCTTATACGGAGTTTAAGTATAAAACTATCAGTTTTGCACAAGAACCCCCCCTTCATTCTTCAGATGTGTGTTTTAGGAAACTGCAACAGATGCTTGCAGTGAGGGTATTGTTTACATCCTGCTTGTTTACAGACTAAGTTCTTCCACCATCTGGCTCCATTTCAGTCCGGCCGCCATGCTCTCAGATTTCAGCAAATATCTTTCCTGGGGTATCATTAGCTAAGCACCGGATGACATCTCTCAGATGGATGTTTCTCTTATTGTGCCCTATACATGCAGAAAAGAGAGAGAGAAGAGCGAAAGGAATAAAATACCTCAGTGGGTGGAATGGGTCTCCCGGTCTGTAGGCTGTTTTTCTGGAGGTTGGTGACGTGATAAGTCCATATCTGGCCCTTGTCATCGCCACATGCTATGTAGTTCCGTCCTGAAGACAACAGACACAGGAAGTTAGCAGTTTGTTATATCAAACAGTCAGCAGGTAGCCCCAAAGATTCAAGCTCCAGTCCTTATTGACCGACGTCCAACAAGTTCTGGATGAACACATCTGTAAAACAGGGTACAAGGTTCTGCAGATTCCTTCTAATGACTTAACTTTGCAATTCACCCT